GTTTCTTACTTTAACTGACTGACTGACTTACTCGGCTGAGGTTACTGACTTTACTGACTGAGGGCTGATCTAATGACTGACTTAAATGTGGGCTGACTGACTTACTGAGCTGACTTACTGACGGGCTGACTGACTGACTTTACTGTAATGACTGACGACTGACTGACTTTAAATGAACGACTTTACTCAATTTGGACACCGGGGAACAAATTTCACAAAATAGTATTCTATTTCGGGTCTCCTGCTGTCGGGGGTCCCTTAAAGCCGCACTTTCCAAATTTGGGTGAAAAAAAACGGTTTTTTTAAATTTTCTAAAACCCTCCAAAAAAAAGGGACTATCTTTTTTCTTTACTGTTTGTTTTTTTTTTTAAATTTATCCTATTTGAAAATTTGTTTTTTTTCTTTAAAAAATTGTGTAAAATTTAAAAAAATAAATATCAAAAATTCCTAATCTTGGGGGGTTTTGGGGGGAGAAAAACCAAAGTTGTTTAAAGTAAACCGGGGCACTTTATAAGTCCCTAAGGCTCTTTCCCTTTTCCCGCTGATTGGGCCAAGTTTTTTTTTACCAAAGGCAGGAAAAGCCCCAATCACGTTCAAGGCGAGGGGATCTTCGTGACCTCCACCCTCCATTTCCATGAGACTTTTTCCCGCGAACGGCCACCACTTCCGGCCCCTTCAAACAGGGACCAAAACCAAAACACACACACCCCCCCCCACACACACACCCCAAAAACCCAACAAAAAACCAACCCCCACCGGGGGGCAACTAAAAACCCCCCCCACACAAAACACCAAGGGGAAAATAAATAAGGGGACCCCTTTTATCATTTGGAATAAACCTTTAAACTATTTTTTTTTTAATTCATCAAACGCCGTTTGGGCCTTTCTTTAACCCCTTGGGTTTAATTGGGGGGTTCAGTGATAAATTTTTGGGGGATGAATCAACTGGGAGAGTATGAGGTGCGAATTAACCCGAAACATAAACAAACATTTTTTTCTAGGTCCCCAAAGCACCCCGGGCTTTATTTTTTGGGTTTGGGGGCCGGCCCGAAAATTTTTAACCACTGCTTTTCCGGTTAGTAATGGGAAAATTGGGTTTTAGGGGCCTTGACTCCCACTCATTTGGGCCGGGTTATAAAAAAGGAATGGGTTTTTTGGACCATTGACAGGGGGGGGGGGCCCCCCCACTTTCCCATACATGGTTTTTAAAGGGACCTTTTGGGTTTGGACCATTGACCCTCCACTGCTATACATTTTAGTAATGGACTTTGGGGGTTAGGGCCCATTGACACCTTTCCCCGGGTAAAGAGACGTTAGTATGGGAAATTGGGTTGGACCGGGTTGAACCAAAAAAAAAAAGATCCACTGCTATAAAAGGTTAGTAATTGGGGGGTTTGGGTTAGGACCGGGGTTTTTTCCCTCCACTGGGTTTAAAAAACGTTACCCAATGGGACTTGGGTTTGGGCCATTGACTCCTCCACTGCTATAGACCCTTTGTTAATGGGACTTTTTGGGAGGACCATTTTACCCCCTCCCCTGGGGTAGAAGACCGTTTGTAATGGGGACTTTGGGTTGAAGGGCCATTTGAACCGGGGGTCCACTGGTATAAAATCGGGGTTTGTTAAAGGGACTTTTTGGGTTTTGGGCCGTTGGCTCCTCCACTGGGTATAGGGCGTTAGTAATGGGGGGCTTTGGTTAGGACCATTGACTCCTCCACTGGGTAAGACGTTTTAATTTGGGGCTTGGGTTTTTGACCATTGAAAACCCGGGGGGGCCCCCTGCTATAAAGAGTTTAGTAAAGGGACTTTGGGGTTAAAGGGCCATTGAACCCCCCTCCCTGCTATCCAAAATTTTGTAAAAATTTTGGGTTGGTTTAAAGGGGCCATTGACCCTCCACTGCTAAGTCTTTTTTAATGAGACTTGGGTTGGGGGATTTCCCCCCCCCTCCCAATGCTATAAAAGGGGGTAATGGGGGAAAATTGGGGTTTGGACCAAATTTACTTTCCCCCACCCTGGGTATACAGGTTGTATGGGACTTGGGTTAGGGACCTTTGGACCCCTCCACGCTTAGACGTTAGTAAAAAGGGAAATTGGGGGAGGGGGCCCCCCCGACTCCCCCCACTGCTATCGACGTTTGTAATGGACCTTGGGTTAGACCAGGACACCTTTCCCTCTATAAAACTTTGTAAAGGGGCTTGGGTTTTAAACCCTTTGGGCAACCTCCACTGCTATACAGGTTTGTAAAAAGGGACTTGGGTTAGGACCAAATTTAACCCCCCCCCTGGGATACAGGTTGTAATTGGGGGGCTTAGTTTTGGACCATTGAACCCCCCCCTCCCTTTTTTCTACTGCTAAAAAACTTAGTTTTTAAAGGGACTTTTTTTTGGGTTTGGACCAAATTTACAAACCCCAAAAAAATTTGTCAATAAACTTTCTAAGCGTTTTAATTTAACTTGGGGGTTTTGGAACCATTCAAGAAAAAAAACCCTTTCCACTTTCTATAACCTTAGTAAAAGGGATTTTTGGGGTTTGGGGGGGGGGACCCAGACACCCCCCACTGCTAAAAACAGGTTTTGTAATGGGGACTTGGGTTTTTGGGCCATTTACCCCCCCCCCCCCCCTTTCCACTGTATAGACGTTAGTAATTTGGGGGGGGGTTTTCCCCAAACCTTTTTTCTTTTTTTTGACCCAACCCAATTTGAGGGTTTGTTTTATTTTTAACCCACCCCAAAAGGGGTTTAGGGGGGAAAAAAACCGTCCCCACCCCCAGTTGGGGAACCCCTGCTTTTATAGAATGTCCGTGTTTAAGACTTGGGCCCCTTTACCCCTGTGAAACCCCACCTCTGTTAAAACCCCCACAAGGGAGTGACAAAAACTACCACCATTGGGGTATTCACCAAATAAAGGGAGGGCCTACATTTCAAACCGGGGTAAAAAAGGCCCCTATTTACACGTCACATTTTGTAAAAAAAACAGGTTTCTTTATGCTAAAGAAAAAAATTAGTGCCTTTTTTTTAAAGTCAGAAAAAAATGCCAAAATTTTTAAAAGACTGTTGGGAAATTTTTTGTCCAGATGTGGGGAATGGGTTTTTTTCTCCAACAAAAAAGGGGGGGGTGGGTTTTCTTTAACACAGTGAGGACCAAGGCTAATCCCGGGCCCTGAAAAACCTCTATAATTTGGGAATTTTCCCCTATCATGACTATTTTTCCAAAAAACCATAAAAACCATCCCAAAAAGTTTCACTGTTAAATGTCACCCATATTGATGCCCTTTAAAAGGGAAAACCCCGGGGAGTTTTAAACCCCTAGCAAATTGGTTTTGGTAAACAGGGTTGGGGGGTGGCTGGGGAAAGTAACCACTCTTTAAAATTTTAAGACAACTCTGGTTAAAAGGGTGACCCCATGATATAAAATTCTAGTTTTAACCATATTTTTTAAGTATAAGGGGTTTGTTTACAAATTTCATTGTTTTTTAAACCGTGGGGTAAAAAAAGCTTTTATTTTGGGGTTTTTATGGGGGGCAAGAGTTAAAATTTGGGTCATGACATTTATAAGTTAAATTTTTTTCAAAAAATCAAAGGGGATATACACCGCCCCCGGGGTAGATTATTAGGTAACAAACCCCTCTAGTACCGGGGCGGAAACCCCCCCTTTTTCCTTTGAAACACCCCAATTCTTCGGGAATTGGGTTTTTCAAAAGGGGTCGGAAACGTTTTGTTGGGTCAATTGGTATCCAAGGACCCTAACGTGGGCCTTTAATCCCTTCCCCACCTTCATTACAAAACACCCCCACCAATCCCGTAAACCATTGACACCAGGGAGGATAGGGTTTTAGGATTTATGCCCGCTTATTCCCCCAATGTGGGAAGAAAAAAGGGGGCGGAAAGTGGACTAAAAGGAAAGGGCTGGCCAACCCGGGCCCCCCTTAACATCGCGTGGCGGTGATTTTAGTGGGGGCCAGAGTTTTAATTCCTTGGTTTTCCACACACCCAAACGCCCTTCATGGGCCCCCAAAAACTCCCAAAGACAAAACGTGACGATGGCCAAAGGGCAACAAGGGCCCTTTTTCCCCCTCAAGGGGGAAATTAAAAAGGGGTTTTTCGGGGGGAAACCCCCAAACCTTTAAAAGGTTTTGCAACCCCCCACCATCAGACAAACCCCCCGGTTGGGTCAACCGCCTTGGGGGGGTTTTGGTGGGACCTTTAAAAAACTTTTCCGGTTTAGTTAATACCGGGGCATTTGAAATAAATTTTTAAACCCCTTTTCCCCTTTTTTTCCCCTTTTTGTTAAAGTTAAAAACTTTATTCTAAAATTGATTCAATTATTTTTTTTCCTCATCTTTTTACCCACAATACCCCATAATGACAAATCAAAAAAAGGTTTTTTTGAAATTTTTTTTTCTAAATTTAAAATTTAACCAAAAACCGAAAAACTTATTTTGTAAGGGGGTTTAGACCCTTTGGGGGGGGCTATGAGACTCGAAATTGGAGCTCAGGGTGCATCCTGTTTTCCCTTAAAACATCCTTTGGGAAAGTTTTTTACAACTTGAATGGAGTCCAACCCCCCGTGGTTAAAATTTAATTTAAATTTGGGCTATTAATTTGGGGGAAAGGGCCAAACCCCGTCTAATTTAAGGTTTCCCCCTCGGCATTGGGAAATTCCCCTAAAAAAAATAACCAAGCCATTAGGGCGAAGGAAATGTCCGTAGAGCTCCGAGACAAAGGGTTGTTGGGCCACAGATCTTTTTAAGGTTCCCAAAAAAAATTTTGCGGGTTTAAGGTTCCCCAAAAACCATGGCCTCCTCATTCTTTAAATTGAAGAAGTTTGGGACCATCAAGACTCTTCCCAGACCCCCCCCGCCAAAAAACTATATAAAAATAAAGATCACTTCATAGTCGTGGGTTGGAAGAGAAACTCAATGTTGTAATGTCAAACGCGCACTTTAGTAATGTCACTAGATCTACTTCCTGCTGATTGGTCCAAGTTTTTTGTACCATCAGGGAGAGCCAATCACGTTCAGCGAGGAGATCTTCGTGACCCACCGCTCCAGTGCCATGAGACAGTTCCTGCAGAACGCCATCCAGCTACAGCTCTTCAAACAGGTACACACACACACACACACACACACACACACACACACACACACACACACACACACACACACACACACACACACACACACACACACACATAACAGGCACCCCATTTATCATTGGAATAAACCTTAATCTATTTCTGTAGTTCATCGATGGCCGCTTGGACCTGCTGAACGCTGGTGAGGGCTTCAGTGATATTTTCGAGGATGAGATCAACATGGGAGAGTATGCAGGTGCGAATACAATCATATCAAACATTTTTACTAGGTCTCAAAGCACCTGACTTGATCTTTGGTTGGGGACCGGCAGACATTTCAAGCCTACTGCTATACAGGTTAGTAATGGGACTTGGGTTAGGACCATTGACTCCTCCACTGCTATAGACGTTAGTAATAGGAAATGGGTTAGGACCATTGACACCTCCACTGCTATACAGGTTAGTAATGGGACTTGGGTTAGGACCATTGACACCTCCACTGCTATACAGGTTAGTAATGGGACTTGGGTTAGGACCATTGACACCTCCACTGCTAGAGACGTTAGTAATGGGACTTGGGTTAGGACCATTGACACCTCCACTGCTATACAGGTTAGTAATGGGACTTGGGTTAGGACCTTTGACACCTCCACTGCTATAGACGTTACTAATGGGACTTGGGTTAGGACCATTGACTCCTCCACTGCTATAGACGTTAGTAATGGGACTTGGGTTAGGACCATTGACTCCTCCACTGCTAGAGACGTTAGTAATGGGACTTGGGTTAGGACCATTGACACCTCCACTGCTATAGACGTTAGTAATGGGACTTGGGTTAGGACCATTGACTCCTCCACTGCTATAGACGTTAGTAATGGGACTTGGGTTAGGACCATTGACTCCTCCACTGCTAGAGACGTTAGTAATGGGACTTGGGTTAGGACCATTGACACCTCCACTGCTATAGACGTTAGTAATGGGACTTGGGTTAGGACCATTGACACCTCCACTGCTATACAGGTTAGTAATGGGACTTGGGTTAGGACCATTGACACCTCCACTGCTATAGACGTTAGTAATGAGACTTGGGTTAGGACCATTGACACCTCCACTGCTATACAGGTTAGTAATGGGACTTGGGTTAGGACCATTGACTCCTCCACTGCTATACAGGTTAGTAATGGGACTTGGGTTAGGACCTTTGACACCTCCACTGCTATAGACGTTAGTAATGGGACTTGGGTTAGGACCATTGACTCCTCCACTGCTATAGACGTTAGTAATGGGACTTGGGTTAGGACCATTGACACCTCCACTGCTATAGACGTTAGTAATGGGACTTGGGTTAGGACCATTGACACCTCCACTGCTATACAGGTTAGTAATGGGACTTGGGTTAGGACCATTGACTCCTCCACTGCTATACAGGTTAGTAATGGGACTTGAGTTAGGACCATTGACTCCTCCACTGCTATACAGGTTAGTAATGGGACTTGGGTTAGGACCATTGACACCTCCACTGCTATAGACGTTACTAATGGAACTTGGGTTAGGACCATTGACACCTCCACTGCTATAGACGTTAGTAATGGGACTTGGGTTAGGACCATTGACACCTCCACTGCTATACAGGTTAGTAATGGGACTTGGGTTAGGACCATTGACTCCTCCACTGCTATAGACGTTAGTAATGGGAGGGGGTTCCCAAACCTTTTGCTTTGTGACCAACCAATTGAGGTGTCTGTTGAGTCGTAACCCACCATAAGGGTTGAGCAGTGAAAAAAACAGTCCCGACCCACAGTTTGGGAACCACTGCTCTATAGAATGTCCACTGTGTTAAGACGTTGACCTTTCACCCCTGTGACCTCACCTCTGTTAACTCCACAGGCAGTGACAAGAACTACCACCAGTGGCTATTCACAGTAAAGGTAGGTCCTACATTTCAACCGATAAAAGTGCCCATATTTAACACAGTCACATTTAGTAAATAAACAGTTGATTTCTCGCATGCTAAGAGAGAAAGTTTAGTGCCATTTTTTTATGTCAGAAAACAATGCCAACATTTCTATGACTGTTGCCATGTAATTGTCAGATGTGCAATGGTTTTGTCTCCAACAGAAAGGGGGCGGTGCTATCTTTAACACAGTGAGGACCAAGGCTAATCCGGCCATGAAAACAGTCTATAAATTTGTAAGTCCCTCTATCATGACTATTACACCATAACACTCCCAAAATGTTTCACTGTTAACTGTCACCATATTGATGCCACTTTAAAGGGGAAATCTGCAGTTCAAACAATAGCAAATTGGTTTTGGTAAACAGCTTAGGGATGTGGCTGGAGAAATGTAACCACTCTCAAATTCATAGACAACTCTGGATGAAAGGACTGACCATCCATGATATAAAAATTCTAGTTTTAACCATATTTTGAAGCTATACAGGATTTGTTTACAATTACATTGTTTACAAACAGTGGGGTAAAATAAGCTTATATATTGGGTTCTGATGGAGTGCAAGAGTTGAACTAAGCTCATGAGGCATTTATAAGTTATTTTCTTCAAGAATCAATGGGTATATACACTCACCGGCTAGATTATTAGGTACACCCATCTAGTACCGGGTCGGACCCCCCTTTGCCTTTGAACAGCCTAAATTCTTCGGGGAATGGATTCTTCAAGGTGTCGGAAACGTTCGTTGCTCAATTGGTATCAAGGGACCTAACGTGCCTGGAATACCTTCCCCACATCATTACACCTCCACCAGCCTGTACCATTGACACCAGGCAGGATAGGTTCATGGATTTATGCTGCTTATCCCTCAATGTGAGCAAGAGAAAGGAGCTGATCGTGGACTACAGGAAAAGGCTGGCCGAACAGGCCCCCATTAACATCGACGTGGCTGTAGTGGAGTGGGTCCAGAGTTTCAAGTTCCTTGGTGTCCACATCACCCACGAACTATCATGGTCCAAATACACCAAGACAATCGTGACGAGGGCACGACAACACCTTTTCCCCCTCAGGAGACTGAAAAGATTTGGCATGGGTCCCCAGATCCTCAAAAAGTTCTGCAGCTGCACCATCGAGAGCATCCTGACCGGTTGCATCACCGCCTGGTATGGTGTACCTAATAAACTGTCCGGTGAGTGTATATACAGTGCATTCGGAAACTATTCAGACCCCTTCCCTTTTTCCACGTTTTGTTACGTTACAGCTTTATTCTAAAATTGATACAATTATTTTTTGTCCTCATCAATCTACACACAATACCCCATAATGACAAATCAAAAACAGGTTTTTAGAATTTTTTGCTAATTTATTCAACATAAAAAACAGAAATACCTTATTTACGTAAGTATTCAGACCCTTTGCTATGAGACTCGAAATTGAGCTCAGGTGCATCCTGTTTTCCATTAATCATCCTTGAGATGTTTGTACAACTTGAATGGAGTCCACCTGTGGTAAATTCAATTGATTGGACATGATTTGGAAAGGCACACACCTGTCTATATAAGGTCCCACAGTCGGCAGTGCATGTCATAGCAAAAACCAAGCCATGAGGTCGAAGGAAATGTCCGTAGAGCTCCGAGACAGGATTGTGTCGAGGCACAGATCTGGGGAAGGGTACCAAAAAATGTCTGCAGCATTGAAGGTCCCCAAAAACACAGTGGCCTCCATCATTCTTAAATTGAAGAAGTTTGGAACCATCAAGACTCTTCCTAGAGCTGGCCGCCCAGCCAAACTGAGCAATCGGGGGAGAAGGGCCTTGGTCAGGGTGGTGACTAAGAACCCGATGGTCACTCTGACAGAGCTCCAGAGTTCCTCTGTGGAGATAGGAGAACCTTCCAGAAGGACAACCATCTCTGCAGCACTCCACCAATCAGGACTTTATGGTAGAGTGGCCAGACGGAAGCCACTCCTCAGTAAAAGGCACATGACAGCCCACTTGGAGTTTGCCAAAAGGCACCTAAAGGACTCTCAGACCATAAGAAACAAGATTCTCTGGTCTGATGAAACCAAGATTGAACTCTTTGGCCTAAATGCCAAGCGTCATGTCTGTAGGAAACCTGGCACCAACCCTACGATGAAGCATGCTGGTGGCAGCATCATGCTGTGGGGATGTTTTTCAGCGGCAGGGACTGGGAGACTAGTCAGGATCGAGGGAAAGGTGATGCAACCTGCTGCAGAGCGCTCAGGACCTCAGACTGGGGCGAAGGTTCACCTTCCAACAGGACAACGACTCTAAGCACACAGCCAAGACAACGCAGGAGTGGCTTCGGGGCAAGTCTCTGAATGTCCTTGAGTGGCCGAGCCAGACCCCGGACTTGAACTAGATCTGCAGAGAAGAATAGGAGAAACTCCGCAAATACAGGTGTGCCAAGCTTGTAGCGTCATACCCAAGAAGACTCGAGGCTATAATCACTGCCAAAGTTGCTTCAACAAAGGACTGAGTAAAGGGTCTGAATACTTATGTAAATGTTATATTTCAATTTTTTATTTTAAATTTAAATTAATAAAAACCTGTTTTTGCTTTGTCATTATGGGGTATTGTGTGTAAATTTATGGGGGGGGGGCTGTAATGTAACAAAGTGTGGGAAAACTCAAGGGTTCTGAATACTTTCCGAATGCACTGTATGTCATGAATTTATAAGTCCAAAAATTGATGTAGCAACTGCTGAGTGCCCCTTTAAAGGTAGAATGGAAGATGACTCCTGACTTAGACATCAGAAACAACATCTGCTAAATAACCCCTTGTGTGTTTTCCCTCCAAAGGCTAAAGATCATGCCAGGATGGGGATAAAGGAGGTCAAGAGCCGGCTAAAACAAAAGGTACCTAGTTCTCTGTGTTCAGCGTTTGGATTTTGTTAACTTTGATCAACGTATAAATTGACATTTGTCTTTGGTCCAAAGCACCGGCTGAAGAACAACTTCACAGAACACAACTGACACACACACACACGTGCACATGCAGACATGTATGCAAACACACACACACACACACATGCGCTGCCACTCATTGGGCGACAGAATTCATTCACTGACGGTTTTTCCTCTCCCATACCTGGCTGTCACTCACTCTTGCCTCCGCTGTGTGTTCACCTCTCCAACCTGACCCTCTGTTGACCTCTCACCTCTCCAACCTGACTCTCTGTTGACCTCTCACCTCTCCAACCTGACCCTCTGTTGACCTCTCACCTCTCCAACCTGACCCTCTGTTGACCTCTCACCTCTCCAACCTGACCCTCTGTTGACCTCTCACCTCTCCAACCTGACCCTCTGTTGACCTCTCACCTCTCCAACCTGACCCTCTGTTGACCTCTCGCCTGTCCAACCTGACACTCTGTTGACCTCTTACCTCTCCAACCTGACCCTCTGGTGACCTCTCACCACTCCAACTTGACCCTCTGGTGACTTCACCTCTCCAAACCCCCCCCAACTATAGCCCTGTAGGGCCTCCTCCCTCGACCTCCCACTCCCCCTCTCCCTGCATGGAGACCATCACCACCACTACCCCCTCCATCCACGCCAACCTCCTCCGTCTTCTTGTACCCCTCTCCAGGAGCTAGCAGAGAACGGCTACTCCTCGACAGCAGGCACTGGTGGCACAGGAACGGGAACCGGGGAGGAGGGCACTACTGCCGAGTCGCCTACCTCCGCAGATGGAAAGGACGGCAGCGCCCGCACCTGGGACGAACGGCGGCCCATCACTGTGCACTTTGGGCAGGTGGGTGAGAGGGACAGGAGGGATGGGATGGGGGGGGGAATTTGTGAGGTCAATGAGGATGTCTGTCTGTCTATCTGTGTCTGTGTTTCTCTGAGTGTGTGTGTGTGTGTGTGTGTGTTAATGCCTTCTACACTGTAAGTCTGCAAAACCATAAGCAGCATATAAAACCTCTCATATCTTCAACTGTCCGATCACTCCAATCTGTTGGACTGACTGTTTTAATGCTGCTAGATTTAGGAATGCCATATATGCTCCTAACAAAACACTACTGTCCCATAGTCAGTTGTCTATAGAACAGTTATCTATAGAATAGTTGTCTATAACAGTTGTTTAAAGAAAAGTCTCCCCCAGTCTTCCCTATTTAGAGTCATCATTACACAAAGAAATATATAATATAAATAAATATCTGATTTAACACAGTGTGACTGTCCTCCTAATGCTACTGTGCTGTCAGTTCTATCATTTTATCACAATCGCTATCACTCAGTCCTTGTCATTCTGTCTCTATCGCTACATCTCTTTTGTTGCACTCATTCCTTGTCGTTTGTCATGTTGGTTCAGTGCTCTGTCATGCATGTCTCTGAGTCTTCACTATCTCTGATCCATCCATCCTTTTCTTCATTTGTTCCTCCTTTTCCTATCTGCTTTGCACGTGTGTTCAGTTTATCTAGTATCAAATCAAATGGACATTTCTAAACATAACAATACCATTAGATCTCATTTCTAAACATAACAATACCATTGGATCTCATTTCTAAATGTAATAATACCATTGGATCTCATTTCTAATCATAATAATACCATTGGATCTAATTACTAAACATAATAATACCATTGGATCTCATTTCTAATCATAATAATACCATTGTATCTCATTTCTAAACATAATAATACCATTGGATCTCATTTCTAAACATAACAATACCATTGGATCTAATTTCAAAATGTAATAATACCATTGGATCTCATTTCAAAATGTAATAATACCATTGGATCTCATTTCTAATCATAATAATACCATTGGATCTCATTTCTAAACATAACAATAACATTGGATCTCATTTCTAAACATAACAATACCATTGGATCTCATTTCAAAATGTAATAATACCATTGGATCTCATTTCTAAACATAACAATACAATTGGATCTCATTTCTAAATGTAATAATACCATTGGATCTCATTTCTAAACATAATACAATTGGATCTCATTTCTAAATGTAATAATACCATTGGATCTCATTTCAAAATGTAATAATACCATTGAATCTAATTTCTAATCATAATAATACCATTGGATCTCAATTATAAATGTAAAAATACCATTGGATCTCATTTCTAAACATAACAATACAATTGGATCTCATTTCTAAATGTAATAATACTATTGGATCTCATTTCAAAATGTAATAATACCATTGAATCTAATTTCTAATCATAATAATACCATTGGATCTCAATTCTAAATGTAATGATACCATTGGATCTCATTTCTAAACATAACAATACCATTGGATCTCATTTCAAAATGTAATACTACCATTGGATCTCATTTCTAATCATAATAATACCATTGAATCTCAATTCTAAATCTAATAATACCATTGGATCTAATTTCTAAACATAATAATACCATTGGATCTCATTTCTAAACATAATAATACCATTGGATATCGTTTCTAAATGTAATAATACCATTGGATCTAATTTCTAAACATAACAATACAATTGGATCTAATTTCTAAACATAACAATACAATTGGATCTTATTTCAAAATGTAATAATACCATTGGATCTCATTTCTAAACATAACAATACAATTGGATCTCATTTCTAAATGTAATAATACTATTGGATCTCATTTCAAAATGTAATAATACCATTGAATCTAATTTCTAATCATAATAACACCATTGGATCTCATTTCTAAACATAATACCATTGGATCTCATTTCTAAACATAACAATACCATTGGATCTCATTTCAATATGTAATACTACCATTGGATCTCATTTCTAATCATAATAATACCATTGAATCTCAATTCTAAACCTAATAATACCATTTGATCTCATTTCTAAACATAATAATACCATTGGATCTCATTTCTAAACATAATAATACCATTGGATATCGTTTCTAAATGTAATAATACCATTGGATCTCATTTCTAAACATAACAATACAATTGGATCTCATTTCTAAACATAACAATACAATTGGATCTTATTTCAAAATGTAATAATACCATTGGATCTCATTTCTAAACATAATAATACCATTGGATCTCATTTCTAAATGTAATAATACCATTGGATCTCATTTCTAAACATAACAATACAATTGTATCTCATTTCTAAATGTAATAATACCATTGGATCTCATTTCTAAATGTAATGATACCATTGGATCTCATTTCTAATCATAATAATACCATTGGATCTCATTTCTAAATGTAGTAATACCATTGGATCTCATTTCTAAACATAACAATAACATTGGATCTCATTTCTAAACATAATAATACCATTGGATCTCATTTCTAATCATAATAATACCATTGGATCTCATTTCTAATCATAATAATACCATTGGATCTCATTTCTAAACATAATAATACCATTGGATCTCATTTCTAAACATATCAATACCATTGGATCTCATTTCAAAATGTAATAATACCATTGGATCTCATTTCTAAACATAACAATACAATTGGATCTCATTTCTAAATGTAATAATACCATTGGATCTCATTTCTAAACATAACAATACAATTGGATCTCATTTCTAAATGTAATAATACCATTGAATCTAATTTCTAATCATAATAATACCATTGGATCTCAATTATAAATGTAAAAATACCATTGGATCTAATTTCTAAACATAATAATACCATTGGATCTCATTTCTAAACATAATAATACCATTGGATCTCATTTATAAACATAATACCATTGGATCTCATTTATAAACATAATATCATTTATAAACATAACAATACCATTGGATCTCATTTATAAACATAACAATACCATTGGATCTCATTTCTAAACATAACAATACCATTGGATCTCATTTCTAAATGTAATAATACCATTGGATCTCATTTCTAATCATAATAATACCATTGGATCTAATTTCTAAACAAAATAATACCATTGGATCTCATTTTCTAATAAATAATACCATTGGATCTCATTTCTAAACCATAAAAATACCATTGGATCTCATTTCTAAAACATAACAATACCATTGGATCTCATTTCAAAATGTAATAATACCATTGGATCTCATTTCTAATCATAATAATACCATTACATCTCAATTCTAAATGTAATAATACCATTGGATCTCATTTCTAAACATAATAATACCATTGGATCTCATTTCTAAACATAATAATACCATTGGATATCATTTCTAAACATAATAATACCATTGGATATCATTTCTAAACATAACAATACAATTGGATCTCATTTCTAAACATAACAATACAATTGGATCTCATTTCTAAACGTAATAATACCATTGGATCTCATTTCTAAATGTCATATACCATATGGATCTCATTTCAAAATGTAATAATACCATTGGATCTCATTTCTAAACATAATAATCCATTGGATCTCATTTCTAAATGTAATAATACCATTGGATCCATTTCTAAACATAATAATACATTGGATCTCATTTCTAAATGTAATAATACCATTGGATCTCATTTCTACATAATATACCATTGGATCTCATTTCTAAAATAATACCATTGGATCTCATTTCTAAATAATAATACCATTGGATCTCATTTCTAAATAATAATACCATTGGATCTCATTTCTAAACATAACAATACATTGGATCTCATTTCTAAATAATAATACCATTGGATCTCATTTCTAATCATAAAATACCATTGGATCTGATTTCTAACATAATAATACCATGGATCTCATTTCTAAAATAATAATACATTGGATCTATTTCAAAATAATAACCATTGGATCTCATTTCAAAATAATATACCATTGGATCTCATTTCTAAACATAACAATACCATTGGATCTCATTTCAAAAACATAAAAAAATACAATTGTATCTCATTTCTAAATGTAATAATACCATTGGATCTCATTTCTAAATGTAATGATACCATTGGATCTCATTTCTAATCAAAAAATAACCATTGGATCTCATTTCTAAATGTATAATACCTTTTGGATCTCATTTCTAAACATAACAATACATTGGATCTCATTTCTAAACTAACAATAACATGGATCTCATTTCTAAACATAATAATACCATTGGATCCCCTTTTCTAATCATAATAATACCATTGGATCTCATTTCTAATCATAAAAATACCATTGGATCTCTTTTCTAAACATAATAATACCATTGGATCTCATTTCTAAACATATCAATACCTTTGGGATCTCATTTCAAAATGTAATAATACCATTGGATCTCATTTCTAAACTAACAAAAAAATTGGATCTCATTTCTAAATGAAATAATACCTTTGGGATCCTCATTTCTAATGTAATAATACCATTGGATCTCATTTCAAAATGAAATAATACTTTGAATCTATTTCTAATCATAATAATACCATAGGATCTCAATTATAAATGTAAAAATACCATTGGATCTCATTTCTAAACATAACAATACAATTGGATCTCATTTCTAAATGTAATAATACTATTGGATCTCATTTCAAAATGTAATAATACCATTGAATCTAATTTCTAATCATAATAATACCATTGGATCTCAATTCTAAATGTAATGATACCATTGGATCTCATTTCTAATCATAATAATACCATTGGATCTCATTTCTAAATGTAATAATACTATTGGATCTCATTTCAAAATGTAATAATACCATTGAATCTAATTTCTAATCATAATATACTATTTGATCTCAATTCTAAATGTAATAATACCATTGGATCTCATTTCTAAA